TACTGGTGTGTGCAAATGTGGCGCGATATTCCACAGGCCCTCCGCTCCACTGTTAGGGATCGAGGGTGCATGTTCTTGAATAAGGATGAAAAGGTTTGACCTTATGTCCACCGCAGCATGAGTCATTTTTATTTCGTGGCTTGTTACAGTACATTTTGAGCTTACCCAGCTCCCCTGCAAAACTACTCTAAAGGAGTGTCTCATAGGGCAGGAACTTCTGATCTGATATTGTTTAGCCCTGTCTTATCTATTTTGCTTGGCTCACATGAATATCTGGGTGAGCGAGGCACACCAAGATAGCTCGATCCTTACAGATTGAAGAACAACCAATGATAATACGGTAGGGTACCTAGTAGAGCTGTGGTTTGTGCATAAATGCTTTTCATGCTATTTACAGTACAGTTGTCTAATCTCCTCCAGACTAGGCTCCACAGAAAGCATAATGGAAAAACGCGTATCTTAAAACATTATTATCCTTAAGCAGCAACAGGGGACTTAGCAACAATGCGCTCATACGCCTCACGCAGCTTGAGCCCCACAATGGTCTGCAGGAAGCCTGTGCCGTTGTTGCTGCCAGGGAAGTCGGCGTTCTTGAGCATCTGCTGGGTGATCTCTCCGTAGAACTTGGTAGACGTGTTGCTCAGATGGCTCTCCACGTAGATCAGCTCGTCCAGCTTGTCGAATTGGCCGTCCATCTCCAGAACAGACACCTATTGTTGGAGAGAGAATGATTTGTAAAGAACGAAGGACGAATGTTGCATGTGAGGGTCTGTGCTTTAAATTCGTCCACTACTTGGTAATTTATCAATTCTTTAAGGCCCGAACTCGGGTAGTTACTTACCAGATGCGCTGAGAAACTAACACTGCCGTTTGCTCACCGGATTTCCGAAGTAAGTGTCAGGGCCGTAGAAGAACTTAATCCCCGGGTAGGAGCAGGTGAGCTTGCGGCCGCAGGGGATCCAGGAGATGCTGGAGCCCTCGTCGAAGAGATACACGGAATCGAACGTCTTGAGGCCCTCCTTCTGCACCATGCGCACGCGCAGCACCTTACCCTCGTTGTCGTCGGGAATCAGCTGCGTCGGTAGGACCTGAATCACCACATCCGCGTGCTGCTTCTGCGGGTCTGACGGAGTTTTAAGGTGGAACGTTTGGGGGGGGGAGGACAATGAATGAAGCTTCCACGATTATTGATCTTTATTCGTTCGTGCCCACTTGTGAGTTGAAACACGAAATATTTCGATTGAATGTGATACCATGTGATGGAATGCGGCAGCATACCAATGTAGGCGTCGAAGTCTGGCTTCCTCGCTTGAATCGAAGCCTTAATGCTCTCCAGGCTGTGACCGCGCTCAGCCATGTCACGCTGCAAGAAGCAAGGATATGTTGGATTATGGTCTCAAATACATACAATGTGAAGGAGATTTCTGTCAGAAGTAATCGGAAATATTTATAAACTGCGGAAACAGTGCTGAGGAAGTGCGTACCTGGATCTTCCAGGCGAACTTGACCTCATCGCTGATGTCAAGATAAATGCTGAAATCTATGAGATCTCGCACGCGCTCATCATACCTGTCACCAACAACAGTCAGGATTTAGACGAAAAATCCTACACGTAAGCCAGGATCAACAGCAGAAAAAAAGACAAAGAATAATTAAAAAACAAATCCAAGACGTACATGGGATGAAGGCCCTCGATGACGAGAATGTCGGGGGATTCGATGAGTTCCGGCGGGTCGAGAAGGCCGGACACGTGGTTGTAAATGGGCTTCATAACGGACTTGCCTTCTTTGAGCGCCTTCACCTGCTCGTACATCAGGTCGAAGTCGTTCGCCTTGGGATCCAATGCCGTAACATTCGCCACCTTGCGACCGTTGCGGTCGAGCGAGTGGTAGTCGTCGAGGCAAATAACGGTGGTCATGTCGCTGAGAAGGGTGTTGGAGTCCGGGTTGCCTCCCTTGGGGGGAGAAGCCGAGCCTCCAAACACGCCAGTCATGCGCCTCATGAATGTGCTCTTCCCGCATCCTGAATCGGCAGCAAGACCGACCACGACGGTCTTATTGCCAGTCTTGCAGACTACGAGCATTGGCCTCCTGACATTGCTAGAACGGGACTTCAGCGTGGCCTTCGCAGCAATCTCCTTAGCGCCGGTGGAGAAAGAGCTACCGACAGTCACATTGTGAATCTCGCTCTTGAGAGCACCGAAGCCCTTAGCGGGAGCGGCCTTCACGGAGAGCACCTTGGACTGGACGCCGGAGGAAAGTGCAGCAGCCATGGCTGAAATACAGATCCCTGTTTTGTCAGGAAAATGCTGCAGGCCTTTGGAATGTATTCGCATGACAGATCTTGGGTTGCACATTCATTTCTGAGGGGCTCATTTCTGCGCGATAGTGTCGCACAGCCTCATCCGCTCATCAGGTTCCACCAATCAATGAAGGTGCTTGAAGCAAGAATCATGGATCGTGTCCAATCGAATCACGTCGTTGTGTGCGAAGTTGACCAGGCTCGCACGAAACAGGTTGGCGACTCGCCATTTGCACGGGAAATTGCAACACACCAAAAAGATCTTCTGGGTGTTTTATTCAATTAGAAATATGTTCATCGATGGATTGTTGGTGCTGTGAAAAGCTCTCGAGAACAATCAAACCAGAGCTAGTTTTAAAGCGTATTTTCGCAAACCTGTAGGCGCTTGGCCAAGCAGACCTGGCATTTGCCACGTCAGAGACCCTGTCAGCGTTTGGTTTAGAATAGCCACGTCACAAGGTTTTTTCTGAAATTATTGGTCACACGCTGAAACGGAGCCATGTAACCAAGCTCGTTCGCCAACCATGCCCCAGCGATGCAAGCCTCAATCCAGAAATTCGCAAAAACCTTTTCGTTACAGGTACTCTGGCCTCTGACTGCACTGATATTTTCTGTTGAGATCTGCGTCAGCAGGGAAATCCACCCACCCAGAACCAGCTGATCCCATGCTCAATCAGCTTTCCCCCCAACGGCTACTACGGGTTCTCTCCCCTATTGGGTATCCAGCCGACATCAACCACACGATTCGCAGCGCCGCGATAGGAATTGTCGGTTTGCCGCCAAGGGAGATCGTTTGAACGTTCACCCCATCAATCTGAGCCCTTCACGCTTTTAGTTTCAGTAAGATCCGACGGTCACATCTCCCTCCTCATTTCATTGCACATTAACGGCCATCCCTCCCACAGGTGTCGGCGTTGTTGTCTCGGTTTCATTATCCCATGCACGCGGCGTCAAGTTGTCCGCAGCAGTTGATTTTTTTCTTTCAGGGTAGGAGGTTGGGCGTGGTAAAGGCGGTGGGGGTGGGAGAAGAAAGCAATGTTTTCTCGTAAGCTTCCCTAGTAGGGAGTTTTAGACATTAAACGATGCTCTTTTAGCTAAGAAAAAACCCCCCGACCATCAAGTTTTGCAGCTCGGTTCCGACTCCACTCATTCAGCCTCCAGCCAATATCTCTTCCTGCATGCCATTCCCCTACCTCCACTCACATCCCATTTCCCAACGGATTTCGCCTTTCTCAACGCAACGTCTCCTGCTAGCCCCACTCTGCTCTCGCATTCTCGTGTTTCATTTCCCATTTTCCTAGTTAGCCTACACGGATCCTAAGTTCGGCGGCTGCCAGCACGAGCGTTGCTTCTGGAGTTCCTGCTGTGTTGACGTTCGGATCAACTGTCTAATTATTCTGCGAGAAACGTTTGGAATCTCTTCGAATCAACAACATCTGCTTCGATTCAAGACATTTCAGCAGCTCTTCAGTTAGGCATTTCAGCACGCACCAACGTGAACGAGTTCTCAACGTAAGTTTCAAATCGATGGCGTTGGTCTACCACATCTCGGCTAGAGAGTCACCTTTTTTCCGTTTGGTTCGTATCAATCTCCACCGTTCGTATCAATCTCCAACGTTCGTGTCACTCTCCAACGTTCGTGTCAATCTCCACTTATGAAGTATCTGATGGCTTTTTTCGTTTGTGCTTTGTCTCGCTTCACTGCTCGACTCGCACACGAGAGTTACTAAGTCCGGCTCAACGCGATCCTCTGCATCCACGCGTTTCCGCGCTACTGGTGTTTCCGCGCTACTGGCGTTTCCGCGCTACTGGCGGGCAGTCAACTCGCGTGCCACTCGAGTGAGCCCTCGTGCAGCGTGGCATGAGCTGCCAGCATCAACGCACCGTGATGTGCTGGAACGGAGATAAGTACCCTCTCGCCCTTGGCGTTCTTGTCGTTCAGCGTGCATGCGCCTCTCCCCACGCTGCACGCCTGCTCACCACCACACGCAAGGGCTCCCCCTTAGTCTCAGGTATGAGGTACGTTCAACAGGTAATAACCCCCTCGTTCCAGGTCCAAAAATTCTTCTCCTTGGTACAGGTTCGGCTCAGGTACGGTTCAGACTGAGGTACCCCTTTGGGTGTGGTGCGGCAGGCGTTGCTGTCGTTGGCGCTTTCTTCTCCCATGCACGTGTGCGCCTCTGCTGCCCTCCTCCTGCTTGCTGCTGCCTCTCCGCCCCTTCCCCTCACCCATGCCATGCCGCCCCCCACCCCTCCCCCCTCCCCGGCCAGCTGCTGCTGCTCCAGTCAACGTATGCGCTGCTGCTGTGGGCGCGACTGGTTCTTCCCGTCAACGCCTGCGCGGCTGCTGTGGGTGCTGCTGGGTGCTGCTGAGTGCTGCTGGGTGCTGCTGTCTGTCCTGCAGTCAACGCCAACGCCAGCGGACTGTCGTGCTTCGCAGCTAAGTACCCCTCCGCGCTTGATTCGCCTCGCTGTGTCGTTTCCCTCTCATTCACGCCGCACTCTCGCCCTGCTCGCTGCAGCAGCAACAGCACCAACACCGTCGCCCTGCTCGCTGCCACACCCAAGCCCTTGTTCCCCAGCTACCAGGTTCGGACTAGGTACCCCCCTCCCCTGGTAATGGTACAAATCTTCGAGCCAAGGTAATGGTGAGAGCGAGGTAAGGTTGAGACTGAGGTTCCTTTCTTGGGTGTGGCGTTATGCAGCAGGCTTTGCTCTCGTCTCCAACGCCATCCATGCACGTGGCTCTGTGTGTTGTGGCTGTCCGTGCTGCCATGCCTTGCCCACTCACTCCTGCCGTGTGTGTGCGGTGGGGAGGGGTGTGGGGTCAGCACCGCCATTCCCCCACGCTCCTCCCCTGTGGCTGTGCAGGTGCGCACACAGCAAGGCAGGAAGGAGGGATGGTGCTGAGGAGGTGGCAGGGGAGGGCAGGGAGCAGCAGGGGAGGGCACAAGAAATAGTCATTCGCGCGTCCTACCACGGCAAAACCGTCGTCGTCCGCGATTTGTGGCATCGAGATTGGTCGCACGGCTGTACCTCCCGCCAGCTAAGTGTCTTCTCTCTCCCTCCATTCTGTTGCTTTTCATGTCGACCTTGCACCATGCATCGCACTCCCTCAAAACAGAACCACTGGTGGCAGCACATGAAACGTCCCACAGACCCTCCCCATTACTGGTAAAGCTCTCTTCCAGGTGAAGCCTTTTTCCAGGTAAAGCCCTTTGGTAAAGACCGTGGTCTGTGGCTTGTGAGTGTGCGTCCACCAGTGGCCCTCCTTTCGCTCTTCCTCAATTCACCGCGCTTGCATTCTCGCTTGCACTGTGCCTCCATCCGATCCCACTCACTGCTGCCTCTCCTTGTGCAACCCTCCCCTCCTCTCCCCTCCCCCCCCTTCCTCTCCCTTCCCGCACCCCTCTTCCAGGCCACATCGTGAGCAGCAGTGGCAGACGGACGGACGTGGGGCAGCATCAGCGTTCTCCTCATGCCCCAAGCCACTGGCGCCAGCAGACAACACCCGGTGGTGCCGGCACATGCTTCACCTGCCCTCTGCACACAGCCACATAACCAGCTAAGTGCTCGCTCCTCCATGCTTCCATTCTCGCTTCGTTTGTCTGTCATTTCTGTTTCTCTCAAAACGGAACCACTGGTGGCAGCACACAAAACGTCCCACAGACCCTCCCCATTACTGGTAAGGCCCTCCCCCAGGTGAAGCCTTTTTCCAGGTAAAGCCCTTTGGTAAAGACCGTGGTCTGTGGCTTGTGAGTGTGCGTCCACCAGTGGCCCTCCTTTCGCTCTTCCTCAATTCACCGCGCTTGCATTCTCGCTTGCACTGTGCCTCCATCCGATCCCACTCACTGCTGCCTCTCCTTGTGCAACCCTCCCCTCCTCTCCCCTCCCCCCCCTTCCTCTCCCTTCCCGCACCCCTCTTCCAGGCCACATCGTGAGCAGCAGTGGCAGACGGACGGACGTGGGGCAGCATCAGCGTTCTCCTCATGCCCCAAGCCACTGGCGCCAGCAGACAACACCCGGTGGTGCCGGCACATGCTTCACCTGCCCTCTGCACACAGCCACATAACCAGCTAAGTGCTCGCTCCTCCATGCTTCCATTCTCGCTTCGTTTGTCTGTCATTTCTGTTTCTCTCAAAACGGAACCACTGGTGGCAGCACACAAAACGTCCCACAGACCCTCCCCATTACTGGTAAGGCCCTCCCCCAGGTGAAGCCTTTTTCCAGGTAAAGCCCTTTGGTAAAGACCGTGGTCTGTGGCTTGTGAGTGTGCGTCCACCAGTGGCCCTCCTTTCGCTCTTCCTCAATTCACCGCGCTTGCATGCATGCGCTCCCTTCCATCATGCTGACTCCCTCCCACTCACTTCCTCTCCCTCCCACTCACTTACTCTCCCTCCCACTCACTGCCTCTCCCTCCACTCCCATCCCCTCCCCTCCCTTCCCCTCCCCTCCCCTCCCCTCCCTTCCCCTCCCCTCCCTTCCCCTCCCTTCCAGCCCCCCTCGCAGGACCTCAGGAGCAGCACTGCTGGTCGCCTGAGACGCCATGCCATGCCTGCTGCCCATGCTGCTCTCACGCCATCAGCTAAGTACCCGTTCCTCCATGCCCTCACCCTTGCCTGCCACACCGTTTCGCTCGTTCCATCTGCTGCTGCACCGTCCTCTTGAAAATTCGCCACTGGTTGGGCACTGCTCGCATGCTACAGACCTCCCTGCTTCAGGTAATTCCCTCAGGTGCAGGTAACCCTGTCAGGTGCAGGTACACCCTATTTGTCCCTTTTCAGGTGCCCTTGGGTCTGTAGCTTGTGGCTGTGCCTTCGCCAGTGGCTCCTCCCTCTTCTCTTGCGTTGGAGTTGAAGTCATGGTTACCCATCCAACTTGCTGCCGCCACCGTGCTCTCACTAGCTCTGTGTGCGCGCATTGCAGGTGGCGGGGAGGGGTGTGGGGTCAACACCAACGCTCCCTCACGCCCCTCCCCCGTGGCCGTGCAGGGACGCACACCGGAAGGCGGGGAGAGGGGCGGCCATTGAGGGAGGCAGCTGGTGGTGCTGCAGCTGCCTTGATCTCGCGCTCACCCATCAGTTAACTCTCCTCCATGCCCTCACCCTTGCCTGCCGCATCACACCTTGAACCTTTCTTGCCACCCTTTCGTTTTCTGGTTGTGCTTTTGCCCTTCCCTTTTAAACCATGCCACTGGTTGAGTGAAATTCACATGCCACAGACACCCGCACTTCAGGTAACCCCTTCAGGTATGCAGGTAAGCCCCTCAGGTGTGCAGGTAACCCTCTCACGTGCAGGTTCCCTTGGTGTGTGTCTGTGGCGTGTGGCCTTGACTCAACCAGTGGCTCTCCCTTGCTCTTCCAGATTTGGCAGTTTGCAGTCTCTGGCTTGTGTTGTGCCCATGCCATGCATACTGACTGCTGCCGTGTGTGTGCATTGCAGGTGGAGGGGAGGGGCGCTGGGGTCAACACCGATACTTCCCCATGCCCCTCCCCTGTGGCCGTGCAGGGACTCATGGGGACGGGAGGGAGACAGCAGCATGGCAATCCCACTGCAGCAAGGGAGAGTATCAGGATGGGCCTGGTCTCTCAAGGTAAGCCTCTTACCATTCTTTCCCGCTGCACTCGTTTTTTGTTAACTTGTCCCTTTGATTCGCCCTTGCCTGTTTTAAGGCCTGCACTCACTCCCCTCCCGGCCTTCCCTTCCGTTCTGCCCCCTCCCAGGTCACTCGCAATGCAGCAGAGACAACTGACGGTACCAGTAGTGCAGCATCAGCAGCGGGGAGCGCGGAAGCAGCAGGGGAGGGGAGGGGAGGGGGAGGGAAGGGGGCATGAGGCAGCACCTCTCGGCGGTTCTTCAGCTGCCAGCTAAGTGCTTTCGCCTCCCTGGACTCACTCTTGCTTGCTTGTCGTTTTCGCATGGGCTTCTGTGTTTTATCCCTGCAGACTTGCCACTGGTTGGGGCCCGGTTCACAAGCCACAGACCTTCCCTGTACTCCTGATAAACCCCCTCAGGTTAAGCCATTCTTAGACCTTACTGTCCCATCAGGTACAACCCCTACAGCAGGTTTATCCCCTCAGGTTTTCTTTAAGGTCTGTGGCTTTGGGTCGTGTTTCCACCAGTGGCCCCTCCCCTCGCTTGTGCTGCCTTTAAAACTCACAGTTGCCAATCCAGCTTGATTCCTTAGTTGCACACTGACAGGCTCTGTGTTCATTGGACGTGGAGGGGAGGGGCGCTGGGGTCAACATCGACACTTCCCCACGCCCCTCCCCTGTGGCCGTGCAGGGACTCTTGGGGACGGGAGGGAGGGACGCATCGCTGCAGCAGGTGGCAATGGCTGCCACAAGGGAGAGTATCGGGGTGGGCTTGGCCTCTCAAGGTACATTGGCTTTCTCCTTGCCCTCAAGCTCGTTCTCTGCTGCTCGTTTCTCGTCACTCTTAGCATTAGTGCCTCCTCTGATGCTCAACTTTCTGCTTTGCCCTTCCTTGCGCCAAGGCCTGCACTCACTCGCCTCCTGTCCTTCCCTTCCGTTCTGCCCCCTTCCAGGTCACTTGCAAGTCACCACAGAAAGCAGCAGCAGCAGCAGGCGCACAAGGAGCAGGGAGGGAAGGGAATGTGTCAGCATCTTCTGCTGCCAGTTAAGTGCCTTCTCCTCCCTGGACTCACCCTTGCTTGTTGCTCTTTCCTCACATTGCTCGATGATTTATTTCCGCATGTGCTTTCCTGTTTTTTCCTTGAACAACCGGCCACTGGTTGAGTCCTGATTTGCAAGCCACAGACCACCACCCCCCTTTCTGTTGCTAAGCCCCTCAGGTTAAGCCCGCCCTAGCCCTTACAGCCCCCTCAGGTCACCCCCTACTTTCAGGTTCACCTTTCAGGTTTCCCTTGATGGTCTGTGGCTCGTGATTCTTCCCTCCACCAGTGGCCCCTTCCCTCCACTTCCCCCTACGAGAAGTCCCAGCTGCCATGTCAGCCTTGTGGTGTTATGACTGCACACTCATTATCTCTGCGTGTGTGCCTTGCAGGTGGAGGGAGGGGCGTGGGGGTCAGCACCGACGCTCCCCCGCGCCCCTTCCTTGTGGCCGTGCAGGTACCCACGGGGATGGGAGGGCGGCAGCAATGCAGAAGCTTGCAGTTGGTGCCACGAGGGAGAGTATTGGGGTGGGCTGGCCTCTCAAGGTGCGTTACCTCCCTCCTTGGAGTGCATTCGTTACTGCAGTTCTCTCTGCGCCCTTGTTGTCTTTGTCAGCTTATGCGTTTCTGTGTTGCCTTTAGTGTTTCTGTTCACGTCACATCACTAACCTCCTTACCTTTCTCTCCTGTCCCCCTCCCCCTTCTCTGCCCGCCACCAGGTCACTTGGCATCAAGAGAAGAGTGCAGCAGAGGAAGCAGAGTAGCAGACCGGCAGCAGCAGAATCAGCAGCGCAGCAGCAGTGGGGGGTTGGGGGCTGGGCAGAAGATTAGGCTAGGCACGGTGTGAGCGAGGTGTGGTAAAAGGTTTGGTATGGTACCAGGTGAGGTGTGGTGATTTGATTCCCTCCTCTCTCTTCCTCCCTCCCTTTCTCTCCTGCAGGCTGAAGGTGGGAGCACAGGAGCAAGGGCGGGAGAGTGGAGTCCACCCTCTCTCTCACCTCCCCCTCTCTCCCTTTTCCCTTCCCTCCCAGCAGCACCCTGCCTGGACCACAGAGGAGCCTCTCCCTCCCCTGATCCCCCCTTCTCTCTCCACTTCCCAGCAGCCTCAGCATCATGGCGCTCTGCACGGCTGTGGTAAGTGGAGGTAAGTACAGGTAAGGAGGCATGGGGGTGAAGTGTGGGGTGGGTGGGTGGGGAGCATGGGAGCAAGTGGGCAGCTCACTGCCTTAGGGGCAGCATCTCCTGGGGTTGTGTCCTGTGGGTGGGGGTGTGGTGGGTGGAATCTGCGCGGCACGGCACTCGGTGCTCAAGTAACCGAACTGGCGTTTAAGGCTTAATGGACACCGTCAGAGTCGACCGGCCGGCGGCTCTGGTTCGCGTCAGCTCTGGCTACGTCAGGGGTGGGATTTGAGTCTTGGGCTGGAAGCAATTTTCCACTACCATACTTCGCCTCATAAGGCACAGCCTCTGCGGGTACTGTTTTCCTTAAGGCATTGGGCTGTCTGCTGCTCCTACTGCTTGGGGATGGGCTGGTAGGTTGTGGTGGGCGGTGATGTGAAGTGGGGTTGGGCAGTGAAGGTTGGGAGTGGTGGTGATGGTGAGATGTTAGTGTGTGCATGTTATTGTGTGGGAAGTGACTGTGTGGTGTGTTAAGGTGTGCATGTTACAGCATGCATGTTTCTGTGTGTGTGTGTTACAGCGCGGTATGTTACTGTGTGGTATGTTATATTGTGCATGTAAAGAGTGTGCATGTTATTGTTTGGATTTTACTGTGTGGCATGTGACTGTGTGTAAAGTTGTGCGTATTACAGCGTGTATGTTGTGTGGTATGTTATTGTGTGGTATGCTATAGTGTGTAAGTTACGAGTGTGCATGTTACAGTGTGCATGTTACGGTGTGCATGTTACGGTGTGCATGTTACGGTGTGCATGTTACGGTGTGCATGTTACAGTGTGCATGGTACAGTGTGGTATATTACAGATGCATGTTACTGTGTGGTATGTTTGTGACAGTGTGCATGTTACAGTATGTTATCGTGCATTGCTGTAGTGTGGCATACTATATGGTGGTATGTTTCAGTATGGTTTGGTAGAGTGTGGCATTTTACTATGTAGCATGCTATTGTGGAGCGTTTTTCAGTGTGGTATGTTGCAGTACGGTATCTAATGCTTTGGGGTGATACAGTCTGTGGCATGTTGTAGTATGGTTACAGTATGGTACGTTGTGGTATGTCATAGTCTTGCATGTTACAGAATGGTATGTTACAGTATGGTATGTTTAAGTATGGTATGTTAAAGTATGGTATGTTACAGTATGGTATCTTACAGTGTGGTATTTTACAGTATGTTATGTTACATTTTGGTTTGTTATGGTGTGGCATGCGATAATCTGACGAGGGATGCGTTGCTGTGACGCGGAATGCGTTGGTGTCATATAGTCTTGCATGCCTTTGTGTGTTAGGCATGTGGTAGTGTGGTATGGCATTGTGTGGACCATGGTGTGGCATGTCATCCTGTGGTGGGCCTGTGTATTGTCTGTCATGGTGTGGCATGTCATGATGCCTTATCTCAATAGTGTACTCTGTGATCATGTGGTGGGTCATGGTGTGGCATCCCATACTGTGGCATCCCGTGACATGGTGTGGGATGTGATGGTGTGGTATGACATGGTGTGGGATGCCATCGTGTGGCATGCTTTGTTTGGTGTGCTGTGATTTGGCATGGCGTGGTGTGGCCTGGCATCATGTCATCTGCAGGATGGCAGCAGCTGGAGGCAATTGGAGATGGTGGAATGGAAGGAAGACTGTCCGATGAGGGAACACGAGGATAGAGGGATGTACGAGAGGTGCATGGCCTGTGGGTACCATATTTAGGTCAAACCTAGATCTTAGTGAAGCCGTGTGGAACATTTAGTTTGCAAACGATACCCTTCACAACCTTGCTACGGTACTCGTTGCCAGTTCTTATACAATCTTTCTCATGGGTATGGGTATTAAAAGGAACTGGTAAATACTGGTGCTTCTTCTTATCAATTGAACCAGCATGTGCTGGTGAATATGGTGCTTCTTTAGATCAATGAAGGGATAGGGGACATAACATGTTTTTTCTTGTATGCACGTCTGTAAATGGGGACGTGTAGCTCAATCGCATCACACGGATTGGGACCACCTTGTCAAACCCCGGCAAAAGCCTTCGATGCTTCAATTTGGCTGGTTGTCCAGCAAAGAAGTGACTCAGCACTACATGACTCTCTGGCACATACTTCCAGCTCAGCCATTGGCTTACGCGTGGGGCAAAACGCCACTGATTCCTCAATCACAGGAAGATCCTGAGTTCCCCGACATAAGACGGTGACGGGGGAAGGAAGACCCGTTTCTAGAAAGCATCCAGCTGCTGAGAGATTCTTGCCTTGTCGGGTTGGTTGGTTGGTTGAATCTACCTTTCTTGGTGCAAAACGGACCAGCCAGACTCGAGCACAACAATTTTGGCAACAGGATTATTGAGTTGGTTGGGACTGGAGTCATAAATACCTTCAGCAGCCCTTCTGAAGGCCAGATGAGCTACTTAGTAAGGACGGTCATTAGAAGGCTTGCTACGTCCCCACAACCTCAGTATCAACAAGCTCGGATCTTGTTTTCACGCGCATATTCCGGCATGGCGTTCCGTGAAGAGAAGGATACGTTTGGACCGATTCAGGTCCCTGCCGACAAGTGAGCAAAGTTACATGTTCGTCATTAGAGCGATTCGTGTTGAAGGTACTGCACCACTAACATCGTGAATGGCGTGCATTGCAGATACTGGGGAGCGCAGACTCAGCGATCCCTTCAGAACTTTGAGATTGGAGGAGAGAGGGAGAGGATGCCAGATCAGATTGTGAAAGCATTCGGAATTCTCAAGAAAGCCTGCGCACAGGTACGAGCGCCGTCCTTGACCTGGTGGTAATGAAGGTTGAGTAAATGACGAACCTCATGGAGTTTGCGTCCGTTCATGCAGGTCAATCTCGGCTACGGTTTGGATCCGAAGATTGGAAATGCGATCATTCAGGCCTCACAGGAGGTCGCAGACGGGAAGCTCATGGACCAGTTTCCCCTCGTCATCTGGCAGACTGGTAGCGGAACTCAGTCTAACATGAACGCCAATGAGGTACGGCTGCTCACTTATCTAGTCCCCTTGAGTTCTGCTTTAGTCCCGGCGCTCTGGTGATAAAGTCTTGTAACATGCTTGTGTTCAGGTCATTGCCAACCGTGCTGCTGAGATTTTGGGATCCAAGCTTGGTGACAAGGGCATTGTTCATCCCAACGACCACGTGAACATGAGCCAATCCTCGAATGACACCTTCCCCACCGTAAGATCGCAAGACCTTTTGTCATTTCTAGTACGCCTTCTTGACGTGCGTCGAACCCTGAGAGTTTGATTGTCACTCACTCGTCGATCCTGATGCAGGTGATGCACATCGCTGCTGTTGTGGAGGCGCACTCGAATCTAATTCCGCACCTCAGGTCCCTCTACGATTCCGTTGCAGAGAAGGTAAGTCAGTGTGTTGCTCCACCACTACGAATGTTAATTTTGTTAGATTTGTATATTACAAACGGTAGTAACTGCTTTGCTGTGGTGCAGGCTGAGGAATTCAAGGACATTGTCAAGATTGGCCGCACTCACACTCAGGACGCAACGCCGCTGACCCTTGGTCAAGAATTCAGTGGCTACGCCACGCAGGTACGGAATGTTTGCTTTCTTTTTATGATGCAGAAGGCAGTATGTGACAGCCTGTGGTAACCTAGTGTCTATCGGCTTAATGCAGATCAAGTATGGCATTCGGCGTATTGAGGACACACTCCCGCGCCTTTACCAAGTGAGTTTTTGCTTGTTGCATGCATCGAATAGCGGTACTTTCCGACCAATATTTGTCATTAACCACGTGACGTTCTGACTTGCAGCTCGCACAAGGAGGAACGGCTGTCGGCACTGGTCTCAACACAAAGTTGGGGTGAGGCATCTTACAAATCTCCACGTGCCTACCTGCCCGTGCATCCTTCTGTCTTGCTAAGTCCTCAACACTTCATTGTTCCCAACCTTGCAGGTTTGACGTGAAGGTTGCTGCGGCTGTTGCTGAGGACACGAAGCTGCCATTCATCACTGCCGAGAACAAATTTGAAGCACTGGTGTGTTGTCTTTTCTGCGCTGCTGCCTTATTAGAACAAGCTTTGCCCTGAGAAATGTGTGTGCAGCAGTACGCTTGGTCTAATTTTTCGACCGATCTTATTGCAGGCCGCTCATGATGCGCTTGTGGAGGCAAGCGGGGCGCTTAACACAGTGGCCGTGTCACTCATGAAGATTGCTAACGACATTCGCTTCCTTGGCAGGTCAGTTGCAGAAATTTGTAATTTAAGCTAGGTTTCCACACGATATAAAATATCTTCACAGAGTGCAGAAAACCGCTGAGGTAGACAGCAAGAGGCTGATTCCATGCCAAAGTGAAACCATGCAGAAGTGAAACCACGCAGCAATGACATTACTAGCATAACTGACATGCGTGATCTGTGAACGCCTCTGCACTTCTTTTCCCCACGTGTGTAGTGGCCCTCGGTGTGGTTTGGGCGAGCTTTTCCTGCCTGAGAATGAACCAGGCAGCAGCATCATGCCTGGCAAGGTCAACCCAACACAGTGTGAGGCGCTCACAATGGTCTGCGCTCAGGTCGGTGACCGTCACCTTGAGCTGTCATGATTTGTTTAGAATTCATGGTATGCTCACTGGGAATCATTCATGCTCTGTGGCAGGTGATGGGTAATCATGTTGCTGTTTCGATCGGAGGTTCGAATGGCCACTTCGAGCTCAACGTCTTCAAGCCACTTATGGCTGCAAACCTGCTTCAGGTCAGTATCGTTCACTGGTCTTTACAAGTTGTTTATTGAAACAATCCTGTAATATTGTAGTACATAACCAATGTTTTGTGTCAATGGGGTCGTGTTTGTTTGTGTTCAGTCCATGCGCCTCCTGGGTGATGCTGCTCTTTCCTTCAAGAAGAACTGCGTAGTTGGCATTGTGGCAAACCGAGCTCGGATCTCTGACATTATGAAGCAGGTGTGTAACTAATTGACAGTGTAGGACCACGTTTTCTTTCTTGCATGTATCCCGAGTGCTAACTTTGTCCGTGTTTGTGGTGTGCTGTTCTGCCTCATCGTTCAGTCGCTCATGCTTGTTACGGCATTGAACCCGGTAAGTTCCTGCATCAGCTGTCCCATTGGAATTTAGTTCCTGAAAGGTTCCCATGTCTTATTAACAAAGTAAGTTGCGTTTTTGCAGCACATTGGATATGACAAGGCAGCAGCTGTCGCCAAGAAGGCTCACAAGGAAGGAACTACTTTGAAGGTAATATGCAGTTTTTTAGCCACAGTAATGAACGTTGCAAGCTTGTTACCAATATTGACATTGTAAATCTCGGTTTGCAGGAAGCTGCCATTGCATTGGGAGTCATCACTTCTGAGAAGTTCGATGAAGTAGTTGTCCCGGAGAAGATGCTGGGACCATCATAGTTCCTGCGGCATGTGTTGTCCAGATGAACAGGGGTGTGGCCCATTATTGCATCCTAATATTGAATTGGCCAATTGTTGTGGTACATCACTACATGCAGCACAGGCCTGTATTGGATTGAATGTGTGAAATTGTCTCCACATCTCACATTTTTTTTTACATATTCCGAATGATCAAACAATTGCAACCCTCTTTTCAGCACGACAACAATGGACGCATACTGGTCTTGTATCACAGTATGAGCGTCGATGTATCGCAAAGCCTTCTTGAATACCTGCCTTTAATCTGTAACGTACATTTCAATGCACACCATTAGAATTAGGTTTCCCAAGCTTCACCAATCCAGCAAACTTGTATTGTTAATTTAATATTATACTTTGTCTTGCACCTAAATAGCAAATGTGCTTAAAGCCAGCAGCTAAAATAGTGACCCCCCCTTCTAGTTTGGTCCAACTTGAAGACCCAAGTTTCTTTGTAGTGTTGTAGAAGGTTGAAGTACTGTGCGTGTGTTTTTTTTCCAGCTCCAGACAAGTTTCTGAGTGAACAAGGAACAAAGTTCTTTCTCAATTTTGATTGGCAGCCAAACAGATGTGCGAATTTGGCGCAAAGAGCTGCGACGTGCAAGGCAGTGCAACCATTTGACGAGTTGTGACTTCATCAAATGCACATCTAGCAACAGCACAGACAAGATCCCAAGCACGCACATACACTGAAGAATACGACTAAGTGCAGCAGAGGCATCGATTGCGACAGAATTGGACGGATATCGTGAGGGCGAGATGAAGGGAGGGGTGATTGTGAGGGCGACAGGGCTATGGCAGGGCGACGGGACGGACGAGATAGCTGAATAACAGCGGAGCTCGCTAGCAAATGCGAGGGCGAGGGGCAGCGAGAGGAGATGCGACAGGGAGAGCGTGAGCGTGAGGGAGATGGGAGGGGAGAGCGTGAGCGCGAGGGAGATGCGACGGGGAGAGCGTGAGTAATGTTTGAACACCAAGGCTGAATGGTTCACCCGATGAAAATTTATAACAGAAAATAAATCCAAGTTTATTCGTAGTTCCAAAAGGAGAGAGCCGCATAACCCACGTCCCTCCCAGTGCCCAATGCCACCTTAAAGAAACAATTTAATCAGGCACGGTAGTACTTCGAGCGAGAACAGCGAGAGCGACGTAGTAAGGAGAGAGGAAGGTTGACGGGAGAGAGGAGGGGCGACGGGAGAGAAGAGGGGCGACGGGAGAGAAGAGGGGCGACGGGAGAGGAAGCGCCACAGAGAGAGGAAGGGCGAACGGAGAGAGGAAGGGCGAACGGAGAGGGGAAGGGCGAACGGAGAGGGGAAGCGCGACGGAGAGGTGACTGGCGAACGGAGAGGGAAGGGCGAACGGAGAGGGGAAGGGCGAACGGAGAGGGGAAGGGCGAACGGATAGGGGAAGCGCGACGGAGAGAGGAAAGACGAACGGAGAGGGGAAGGGCGAACGGAGAGGGGAGGGACGAACGGAGAGGGGAAGGGAGAACGGAGAAGGGAGGGGCGAACAGAGAGGGGAGGGGCGAACGGAGAGGGAAGGGCGAACGGAGAGGGGAAGGGCGAACGGAGAGGGGAAGCGGGACGGAGAGGGGAAGGGCGAACCGAGAGGGGAAGGGCGAACGGAGAGGGGAGGAGCGAACGGAGAGGGGAAGGGAGAACGGAGACGGGAGGGGCGAACGGAGAGGGGAGGGGCGAACGGAGAGGGAAGGGCGAACGGAGAGGGGAAGGGCGAACGGAGAGGGGAAGCGCGATGGAGAGAGGAAGGGCGAACGGAGAGGGGAAGGGAGAATGGAGAGGGGAGGGGCGAACGGAGAGGGTAAGGGCGAACGGAGAGTTGAAGGGCGAACGGAGAGGGAGGGTGACGGGACGGCAACGGGAAGGCGACGAGACAGCGGCGGGACGGTGACGGGAAGGCGACGGGACGGCGACGGGACGAACGACGGAACGGACGGCGCGAGGATGATCGGAACGGGAGGGCGAGCGAGAATCGATGGGAAGGCGGCGAGAGTGCGTTCGAAACGGCACAAAGTACTACACAACCATGCCAGCTTCACTGTGCGTCAAAATTGAAACCACAACGGCCTAAGTTGATGGTTCTATGGCTAGGCAGGCTATTTATAACTAAAAAACAGAGATGTATGATCGGAAGAACTACTAGTTCACCCAGGCCCAACTTGAACCCCAAGCTGGGCCCAAAATCGCAAGGACGTGCGTGGGCGATCGCGGTGCTAGAGGTGTGCGCCTTCCCAAACAGATGTGCGACACCTGACGTGCTTTTTTGGGTTTGGCGAGAACCAATCAGATCTGTTCGATCTGCAAAAATGATCCAAAAGGAACAGTGCAAACGAGAGAAAATTGTTTCGCTCGGCAGGCCCCCTTTCAAGCAGGCCCCGGGTTCCCTATTTTGCATTTCGGTTTTAATATTATACTCTGTTTTGCTCCTCAAAGCAGATGTGCTGTACAATACTCCAAGGAAAATCCCTTTTCCTTACTTCGCGTCCCTGCTCAACGCGTACATCACTGTAGCACCACAGTCAGCACCGTTACCACTCGCAATCCTCGCATCGACAATCCGCCCGCCATCTTCGCACGTCGCACCCCTGTTAGAGGTCCACTTGTGATCCTCGATTGATCCTAGGGAAGGGTTACAGGCACGTTGGCCTGGGGGATGCACTGACCCGCTACTTAAACAAGCCCTTTTATCCCAATGGTCTCGTGGTTGGGATTATGATATGATATCAGAGCGAAGGTCTCGGGTTCGAATCCCGGTGTATGCACTTCGGACATCCCAGTGAGAGGGGGTGTTAGAGGTCCACTGGTGATCCCCGATTGATCCTAAGGAAGGGTTACAGGCACGTTGGCCTGGGGGGGTATGGGTGCACTGACCCGCTACTTAACCAAGCCCTTTTATCCGAATGGTCTAGTGGTTGGGATTCTGAACCCCGACCTCACGGCTCGGTGGGTAACCCGCGCTTCGGGCCTCCGCTTCGACCTCAGTGCCACGACCGTCGCGCGTCAACGACAGTCCATTACCGTTACCACTGTAGTTTCGCTATATATTCTTCGCTCGCAACACTTGGTATTCAGAGCCTACGATCTCTTCTCGGACCGCACCCACACCTTCGCTTCCCCACTATCTCAATTTTTGGGGGGGGTAGACGTCTCTCAGCGACACAGCACCACCGCTCGTATTGCTCTCTCGTAAGCACGCACGGCCACGACTGAGGCTCTCGCTGAGCTCGCCCGACACCCCCGCCATGGCCGAATTCACGCTCGCCACATTGACGCAGGAGCAGCTCGACCGTCTGGTGCGCCAACTCGAAGATTCGGCGCTCGAAATTGCGATGCTCACAACGGAACGTGACTCCGCGAGTCAGCAATCAACGGTGAACACTCCAGCAGCACCACACGCACCCACAAATGCACCTGCACAATCGGACGAGCCAATTGTCATCTCGTCCGGGACACCAACACAACACGACAGCGTGGGACAGCGCTCGGGCGCAGCAAGTGATAGCGCCGCCCAACCAATGCCTGGCATGGGAGGAAACAGGGGCGCGCCAAGCCCGCGGGAGCCTCGCGAAGCCCGTCGGCACGTGGAGTTCGCGGCGACAAGTGGCGAACAGGCCATCATGGCACCAATGCCACTCAAGCCGCAACGCCCGCCCTGTTTCGACCCGAGCCAGCGTGGAGGTCCGACGGTTCAATCGTGGGTTTTCACGATGAACGTCTTCTTCGACGCAAATTACGTCGAGTTGGACGCAGCGAAGATTCGGTATGCCGTTTCGCTGTTAAGGGGCCCCGCCATGGACTGGTGGCGAGTCAACGTGACGTCGCCACGCGCCTACGAGCCACCGTCGCAAGAGGAAGGGCCCACGGGTCCAGCTGTCACATGGAGTTCATTCTGCGAGACCGCCCAATACAGCACGTGGGATGCGTGGTGCGCAGGGCTTCGGGCGCGCTTCGAGCCGATCGCGTCTTCTATTTCGGCGCGTCAGAGATTGCGCACTTGGCGGCACCTTGGGTCGGTTCAAGATTACACGAGCGGTTTTCTCGCACTTTGCGAGCAGATCGGCTACATGCACGAAGCGGAGCGGGTGGACCGTTACGTCGGAGGGTATAAGCCGGATATCTCGCATGAAAACATGCTGCGCGGACTCTCAAACTTCAACGAGATTCTCGCGCTCGCCGAGAAAATCGACATTCTACGCCGACCGAGACCGGGTTCCTACTACGCACATCGTCCTCGGGGACCGATTGAGCACAACACTGTAAACGCTGTTGCAACGAATGCAGCTGCCGCACCGTTTAAGAGGCGCTGCTTTGCTTGCAACAGGCCGGGCCATCGCAAGAGCGAATGCCTAGAGGAGCTAAGGCGCCGCGGAGCAGAGCAGGAGAGGGAGTCTCAGAGGCAGGGAAACGCAGGCAGTCAGTAGCAGCTGGGCCAACTACTGACGAGACTGCCTGCTCACCCAACCGCACCGACCATCACCCAGTCACAGTACCGATTCACGCCATCGATCGGGCTCGGATAAATAAGGAGGGTACGACGACGGATTGCCCAGCACTGATCCACGGGAAAATACAGGGAGAAGCAGTGAAGATTTTTATTGACGGAGGAGCAAGCCACAATTTAGTTAACACCGCAACTGCGCGAAAATTACAACTGACACTTAGTCGCTGCTTACCTGATATCAACGCACGCTTAGTTGACGGCACGCCGCTGGCCATACGGGAGAAGGTGGAGAGAGTAAAAGTTCGCTGCGGGGGAAACTTCGGGTTTACACAGGAAATGCTCGCGACGACATTGGATGGGCATGATGTTTTACTGGGACGTGATTGGCTACGACGGTACAACCCACAAATCGACTGGACGACGGGTAGCTGCACTCTGCGAAGTAGCGGTAACGGGGTCATGCTACCTCTCTGGCAGTCGCCCGGGTCTTCAACGGTCCACGTCAACGCCATCACGATGAAACGGGTTGTCGCCGCTGGAGCTGACGTGTACGCAGTAGATATAGCATTAGTAGGAGAAGCGGAGCAGCCGAGCGATTTTCAGAAACTGTTGGCAGCAGTACCGCCCGAACTACAGGAACTGTTGAAACGGTACCCGAGGATTTTTCCAGACGACTTACTGGAAGGGCTGCCACCTTAGCGGGCGCATGATCATAGGATCGAGTTAGAACCGGGGGCACAGCCAACTGTACAGCGCCAGTTCAGACTAACACAGCCCGAGCTCGACGAACTGAGGAAGCAGTTAGATTATTTGTTAGAGAAGCAGTTTATTCGACCAAGTTCGTCACCGTTTGCCGCACTCATACTGTTAACACCGAAAAAAGACGGAGGGTTTCGCATGTGCATCGATTACCGAGCGCTCAACAGGGTAACAGTCAAGTCGCGGTACCCCATTCCCCGCGCCGACAAACTGATCGACCAACTGCGAACAGCACGGGTGTTTTCGAAAATAGACTTACGGGGGGGTTACCATCAGATTCGGGTCAAACCATCGGATTCCGCCAAGACACCATTTGAGACTAGGTACGGGTCGTTTGAGTACACGGTGATGCCGTTCGTGTCAAAGCTTGAGCTAGGCTAAGGAGCCATAGCTAGTTAGAACTAGAGTTTGAGTATCGAGCAGGTTGAGTTGAAGTGAAAAGTATCGAGAGAATGGGGGTTTCACTATAGGTTCAAGGGTACAAATAGGCAAGAATGAAGAAAGGCAAATGGTACACCACCTAGCAGGATACTAAGATAACTACACTAGGCTACTGTAGGCATTTATATGAAAGTATACAAATACATTTCAACAGTTCGGGCTGACCAACGCGCCCGCAACATCTCAGATGACCATGAACGAGGCGTTTTGGCTACTCTTAGATAAATGCGTGATAGTTTACCTCGACGACATCCTCGTCTACAGTCGCGACAAGCAGCAGCATTTAGCGAATCTCGAAGCAGTATTTAAAGTTTTAGAGGAACATCGGTTACTAACCAAGGGCTCTAAGTGCGAGTTTTTTCGGGACAGACTAGAATTTTTGGGGCACGTTATTTCGGAGGCTGGAGTTGAAATCGACCCAAAGAAGCTGGATACGGTAAAAGCATGGCGTCCCCCGACGAACATCACGGCACTGTAGAGTTTTTTAGGGTTCGTTAATTATGTTCGGTGGTTCATCCCCGACATGGCACAGTTGACTGCCCCGCTGACGAATTTACTACGAAAAGGGGTCGTTTTGACGTGGGGGGAGAAAGAGCATGCTGCCTTCTCTGCCCTGAAAAATGTTCTCTGTTCACCGCCCGTCCTGCGCATCGCCGACCCTTACCGCCCCTTCGAGATTGTTATAGACGCAAACGACATCACCATTGGAGCCGTACTGCTACAGGACTTCGGCAACGGCCTACAGCCCATCGCATACGAGTCACGAAAACTGCATCCGCCCGAGCGAAATTACCCGATACACGACCGCGAAATGCTCGCGATCGTGCATGCGTTCAAAGTGTGGCGCTGCTACTTGACCGGTGCAGACGTGACAGTACGGACAAACCACCGATCACTACAGTACCTCCGCGCACAGCCCCACCTCAACCCACGACAGATTCGGTGGCTCGATTTCCTCGAGTCAAACTTCCACTACACAGTCACCTATAAAAAAGGAGCCTCGAACATCGCCGACGCACTTGTCAAACATTTATATGTTTGTGTGGTTCTAGGGTGTAGTGGGTCACACCATAAGGGGTACACCAGATTAGGGTTTGACATATTTGTACTGTTGTTCCTGCTAGTCACTCATCATTCTCGTTTCTCATTCTGACATGGTATTACGAGCCTAGGTTCCACCTAGGACCGAAACGATAGGGCCCACCGTTTCCGCTAGCCGCGCCCTCGTGCGCCGCCGTTCTTTTTTTCCTGCGCCTCGAGCGCCTCCTTCTCAAGGCCCCGTATGGCCCCGCGCTAGCCTCTCACGGCCCCCGATCGGCCCCGCGCTAACCTCCTAAGGCCCCCGTCGGCCCCACGCTAGCCCCGCGCTAGCCTCCTACGGCCCCCGATCGGCCCCGCGCTAGCCTCCTAAGCCCCCGTCGGCCCCACGCTAGCCCCGCGCTAGCCTCCTAAGGCCCCCGTCGGCCCCGCGCTAGCCTCCTCAGGCCCCCGTCGGCCCCGCGCTAGCCTCCTAAGCCCCCGTCGGCCCCACGCTAGCCCCGCGCTAGCCTCCTAAGGCCCCCGATCGGCCCCGCGCTAGTCTCCTAAGGCCCCCGTCGGCCCCGCGCTAGCCTCCCACGGCCCCTGCAGGCCCCGCGCTAGCCTCTCACGGCCCCTTAAGGCCCCACGCTAGCCTCCCACGTCCCCTGCAGGCCCCGCGCTAGCCTCTCACGGCCCCCGACCGGCCCTCCCGCGCTCGCCCCCCCCCCCCTACG